CCCCCATGTGACTGCATCTAGGTGCTATGATATCTTGACACTATGTGGTGACACGTGATCTTGGCCTCCTGGTCTTCTAGCCTGATGGCCCAAAAACTAGGGGACTTATCTGTGCTGTGAACAGGTGCTGCATGATGGTTCCAAGAGTGTGTGGTAGTGGTGGTAATAAGGAAGGGGTAACGCCTTCCAGTCGGTTTATCATTCTGTTCTTTGAAGTTGTGCGCCGTTTCGGTAGAGAAAAAACTCTATGAAATTGCTGAACGAGGTCTAGGCTCCCAAATTGGTTGGCGTGTTGACGTGGTTTGACCGGTGAAGTAATTGTCCGACGATGCTGGATGGGCGAGGTCGACAGGAACATCCGATTGAGGAAAAGTCACCGTACTTTAATCGTATGCTTCTGTTCCTTCCGCTGTCCCATAGCTCCATGACCATGGAGAGCGCGCTTCTTTTAGTGTGACTGTTGTGTGTTGTGATGGCGGAAGGAGGGCGAGCGGCGAAGGTGAGTCTGTGGTGATATGGCAGCAGTTTCGATTTTGTGAGTCGGGAGGGCGAGCGGCAAAGGTGCTTCTGAGGTGTTATGATGTTGGGTTTTGGTTCTGTAAGCCGGGAAGGCGAGGCAAGATGAGTTCATTGAGTGTGTGCAGGTTGTGTCCGGATTCTTCGTTCGGTAATGGCAAGGTGAGCCCGCCCATATAGAGCTCAGCCATTCCTCGTTCGATGGGCCGGTGTGGACAGGTGGACGGATGGAAAGACGGGAGAGGAGACAATGTTGGTGACTGTGTTGGACTGTCTCTGTGATGACAACGCGATAGACCCGGACCACGAAAGGCCTAGTTATCCCTCACGCGAGAAGTCGGTGATGGTCTTCGAAGTCGTCGATTATAGCACGATAAGGCGAGACACGAAACCTTAGCTATCCTTCGTCGTCGTCGTCGTTGACCGGGTCGAGAGGGAAATGATGGACGTATCGAGGGAAGCCAGAGCTCGACAGAACCATCCTTCCACCTCTTCTGGGCAGATCTTAGCTTCCTTAAGCAGCAGTCAGGCAAACCTGCTGCTAGAGTACTGGTCCCCAGCACCGCGTAGAGGTGCCTGCCCATCGCTGGGGCCTGGGAAAAGATTCCTGGGAGAAATTTCCTGGGAAGGCGTTCCCAGGAAAAGGGTGTTACTGTTGGTAAAAATGAGTGGTTGTGTGTCTCTCGTTCTTCTACATACAAGCAATCTGTTCGCAATATATAGTAGAGACTGTGTCTTCTAGAACCTTCGCCCCTTCTTTCCCTACGGAGTAACAATCTGCGTCTGCCGGAGGAAGATGACTGTACCTTCATATTCCAACAGTTCATTACACTATTGGTGCAATATTTGAGCTGTTGGCGCAGACACAAGCTAAAAAGCGCGCCAGGATGGTGGGATGTGGGACACTCGCTTGTGAATCACATTATATCACTCTTCTTGTTGATAGTCGTATCAATGCCATTATTGACCACGTCTGGATAATTGTCACGGCTTCACCAGACTTACCATCATCTTCATTTCGCAGGCCCGGCCTGCAAAATCCAACAGCCAATTAGAGGCTGTCGATTACTAAGCAGCTCTGAACCTTCAGTTTACAAACACACCTTTGTGCTTGTATATAGCTCTTTGTGCAACACCATAGTCAATACAGCACTCATGACCTAACGCGCCTTAACAGTAGTGCTAGTTCTAGTTACAATCGCCGCTACTACTATAAAAATAAGTCGTACTACGGCTATGTATAGGGCTAGGCAGATACTAATTTATTATTAAGATTTACACCTTTATATTTCAATTTAACTAATGAGTTATTACTTGCACTTTAGGTAATTTCGATTGACTAACGTGTTTCATAAGCGAGAGAACCACACAAGCGAGGGAACCACTTCTACCGCGCGTCGTGTCCATACCGACTTCCAGTCAAAATGTCAACACCACCATTTCCCTTAGCTCCTAATCCAGAAGGTAGGATTCTTTTAGCTATCCAAGTAATTGAAAAATGTCAACTTTCAAGTCTTCGAGCAGCTGCAAAGACGTACGACGTGCCCTATCCAACCCTTCGCAAGCGAATTCGTGGGATACCTGCGCGACGCGATTCTCGACCCCAAAATTGTAAACTCACGCTTACTAAGGAATCAGTCCTCATCAAGCGTATCCTTGAGTAGGATAAGAGAGGATTTCCACCTCGCTTATCCTTCGTACCACAAATGGCGGACTTTCTCCTTTCCAGCCGCGGTGGATCTCGACAACCAGCTCTAGTAGGTAGGAGTTGGCCTCAGAACTTCGTCGATCGCTACAAGGAGCTAAAGAGCAGATAAAACCGAAAATACGACCACCAAAGAGCCCTATACGAGGACCCAGCAGTTATCGGGGACTAGTTCATGCTCGTACAACGTACGATTGAGAAGTACGGGATTACCGACCAGGACATGTTTAACTTCGACAAAACTGGATTCCAGATGGGCGTTATTACGACAGCAAAGGTTACTACAAGCTTAGAACGCCGTAATCGACCGAAAACAGCTCAGCCAGGCAATCGGGAACGGGTGACGGTAATCCAGGGAATCAACTCATAGGGATGGTCGATTCCGCCGTTCATCATCTTCGCAGCGAAACATCACCAGCAATCTTAGTACGAGGATGAGATTCTCCCACCCAAATGGGTAATCGCAGTCAGCGAAAACGGCTAGACAGACGATCAGATCGGATTCGAGTGGATCAAGCACTTCGACAAGCATATAAGTACTCTTATTATCAGACGACATCAGCTTCTAATCCTTAATGGCCATGGCAGCCATGTCACGGCCGAATTCAAACAGTTCTGCTCGGAGAACTCGATCATCACGCTCTGTATGCCACCTCACTCGTCTCACCTCTAGCCACTCGATGTGGCCTGTTTCAGCCCGTTGAAGAAGGCGTACGGCTACCAGGTTGAGAATCGGATGAGGCTTGGCATCAATCATATCACGAAGCTCGGCTTTCTCCCTGCGTTTCGACAGGCTCACAAAGAAGCTATTACAGAAGCAAACATTCGAGGCGGTTTCGCAGGCGCAGGGCTTGTTCCATTCGACCCGGATCGTGTCCTTTCAGGTCTTACCAGGAGAATTCGGACTCCAACACCTCCGGCTACTCAAGGGTCACCATGGACATCGAAAACACCCCGGAATCCGATAGAGCTCCAGTGCCAAACCGAACTGATCAAAGACCGATTCGAGTACCATCCGAATAGCTCTCCGACTCCGACCAATCAGGCCCTAATCCATCTATTAAAGGGCTGCCAAATGGCAATACAAAGTGCCGTTCTTCCCGCTGCCGAGAACAAGGAATTACGGGCCGCAAACGAGAGGCAAAAGCGAAAGCGATCGAAGCGAAAGAGACGTATCAATCAGGGCAAGGTGTTAGGTGTTCGAGAAGGGCAGGATCATGTTTAACGGACTACAATTGACGAGCAGATCCAGAATGAGATACGTCAAGGGGGAGTTGAAGACGAGGGGCCTAAGCGAAAGAAACGCGCGCCAACAAGGTGCCGTTTATATAATTCGGTTGGACATAATGCCTGTACGTGCGCGAGGCACCAGGAAGCTAATGTATAATAGAATATAGTTATTTATCTGAGTACTAATGTTGATAATCTCGCGAGTCTGCTTATCGCGTAGTAGAAGTGGTTCCCTCGCTTGTGTGGTTCTCTCGCTTGTGAAATACGTTATACTTCCTTTTAAAAAAGCAGAATTAGGGCCTAGTCTAGTAATTATCACCGCTAGAATAGTAGATAATTAGATAATATTGGATTAGATAAAGCCTGAAATGGAGGTTTTCATTGCTCAGAAGGATAGCTAGTTGCCTAAGTTGGAAGAGGTAGAGATGGAAACTAAGTAGATAGGTTGCACTTATATTTTAGGACCTTGAAACGCTTGTGGCAAGCTTTCCACTTAAAGATTGGAGCCTACAAGGTTGAAGCTATAGGAATCGACGCTGAAACCGCAAGAGACAACGGCTCGTGAAGCTGTATCCTTGTGTGCTAAGATACTAAATTAGGCTCGGACTGCTACAGGTATTGTTCGAGTATAATCTGTTGCCGATTGTCCAGGAATCCAGGTTCCTAGTGTTTTCCGAAGCGGAACTGTTCAAACGATCTTCGATGCCGCTTCTAGATTGGGGCCGGCCTGACAGTATATGGTACGGAAATTCATTTTCTGGCCGTAAGCTTCCCAGTAACATGGAGCTACTGCGGAATATCAGAGTCCTTGGAAGTTCTCGGCAAGCTGAGAGGTTCCAGCAACCATGTTGAGCATGTCCCACTGCAAGAAACTCGATACGTTCAGGGTCAGCAATGTGATATCGTCAAAAGATCAATCGACGTTGATGTTTGGAGGCGGTTTGGTACGAAATACTTGAATCGGTCTTTTTGGCCCTGGGAACTGCAATGACACTTCGTTTTTTGCCTACCCGAGACATCACCCTGCTCGACCAATGTCAATTTGCATAAGACTTTTGAGACTGAAACTGTGGATGAAAGTTTCCGGTACGCGGCATCCGCGTCGATTGCCGAAATGGAATCGCATCTAAAATTGCGGAACACGGACCATGGCACAAATGGATATTCCAGAGCGGTCAAGGGCCATTCAGCAAGCCTGCTGCATCACACTTTTATTCCGTAGGTACATATCCGAACATATCGTCCTCGGCGAGCGGGATGTACTGCGCGATATCTGCCTCCGTCATGCCCTTAATCAACGCGATCAGTTCCTCCCGATCAGGCGTCCTAGATGGCAGCACTGAGAAGCTTCGCAGTGAAACAAAGGCGTTAAGTTTCATGTAGCGTGAGGGCATAGTTACCTTGGACATGAGCACAGATACCACTCCTTCAATCCGTCACCTGTTGAATAAACGTATTACGAAGATTAGATATAACTGTTCAGCCTTACACCATATTAAAATCGGGTCTGCCGCGAGAACAACACAAGGATACAATATTTTTCAATTAGTCAGCCGCTGCTCTTCGCATTTCTTACTCTTCCCTTGTACTTCATCTCAACATCTTGGATCTCTGCTTCCATTAGATACTTCCCAGCATCCCACTGTAGCTGCCAGCCTGTCGCGTCATGAGTACCAGTCAACAGCTTGCATGGATAAATAACGCAGTCTTCCCCGTCCAAATTCTGCGCAAGCTTGCGATCAACAATAGATTTGTGGATCTGCTCGTTAGTGGTCCCATCCAAAGACATTGGTCGCCGGTCATCCACCGTGTTCATGAAAGGAATGACGTCGGCCCAGTGATACACCAAGTCGAGCAAATCCCTCGTCCCAGGATCCTCGGTGGTTCCGAGTGTTGTATTCCACGGTTCAGATTCGTTAGGGTCAAGCTTCTCATAGTCAGAGACGCAGTAACTATGATCGAAGCTCAGTAGCTTCGTCTTCTCGCACTCCGCAATCATCCAAGCGAGAGTGATGTCCGAAAGACGAGGATCAGAACCCCCTCCACCAATGTCAGAATGTCGGCCGCTGAACCAGACCTGTTTCATTCTGTCAGTGCGGCTGTCTTGCGGAGACAATCCCCACAGAGTTGGCGAGAACACCGTCCGCCGCTCGTCCAACGCAAGTGCATGGAAACCGTACTGAATCTTCGGTGAGAGCTCCAAGTTCTCGAACTCGAAATCTTCAACATCGTAACCGAGGAGCTCTCCCACTTCCGGCTTGTGGAACGCAACTGTATCCCACACACCGATAATCCGAACGGAATCCTCGGCGCCCTTATGATACCAATTGGAGTCGATCCCCTCGATAGGCGAATCGTTGCTGGTACCCTTCTTGCTACCACTGAGGCGCCGCTTATGATGTGCCTCATACAGCGTCGGAAAAGCATCCATGCCGCGCTTGGTAAGCAATCCGACCTCCGTGACCATGCCTGCAATAGCACGGGCAGTGTAAGCGCCGCGACTATATCCAAAGAAATAGATTTCGTCATCTGGGTCGTAGTTATGCGCGAGAAAGCCGTAGGCGGCACGGATGTTTGCTGCAACGCCAGCTCCAGTTGCGCCTAGTATACGCTGGTATTACTAAAGACGTCGACAGTAGAATTGGGTTATCAACATACCTCCCAAACCCCAGTCTAGCTTTGAGTTCGTCCCTACACCCTTCTGGTAGTATACAATCTGCTCTACTTGCACCTTCCCTTCACCCGCGGTTTCAACTTCAGTCCATGGGCTGATGGCGCGGGCGAAGCGAGTCACATTCGTGGGATACTTGAGATCATTGGCTGTGGAGTCTTGCCCTGTCCCTGTATGCCAATATAGTTCAATATGTGTTCCAGTATTAGGAAGAGCGAGAGAGGCTTACCATCACAGAGGATAATGAGCCGCTTCCGGAAGTGCGATAACCGCTTTGGTTCAATAGCGGTTGATCCTGAGACCGCAGTCGACATCCTCCTCGTTACCGTACAGAAACCGAATAAGGTTTTTACTATATTCTGAGGTCCGGCTGACAGCTGTAATAAGTCTTCTAACAAAGAGGTGGACGTCTGACAAGGCATGGCCGATTGAGGAGCTTAAGAGCTCGAGAAGATAAACTAGTAAGGCTGAAGGCTGCAGCAAGCTGAACTTGGTGGCGTTTTGCCTTCTCAGCCAAAGGACCACTCTGGGAGTTGTGCATTCTTACTTGCATTGCCTAGCTGTGGGGTCATCCTTGTAGTGCGCATACCTACCTATCAAATCAACGTTTCTACAGTTACAAGACCTTGGCAGACAGGCAATGTTCTCGACTTCCCATCAAGCCATCGGGATATCGGTCCTGTCATAGAGCTGAACGAATGTCATGTGCAATGGTGCTAACCAGACGCGCCAGGATGCTTTAGAGCTAGAAATAATTGTAGCATTCATCTTGACAAGAGGTCCTTTAACTATTGGCGGAACCTGCAGCCCGTATCACGGTTGTGACTGCTTGACAGCAGAGGAGCATGTTACGGAACGAGCTGATGATGAGAAGCAGCTGCAGCCTCCTAGCTGAACGACACAGACCAGATATAGTAAATGTCTAGCATGCGATCGAGATCTGAGGATTTAGCCTATAGTGCTAGTGAAAGCTGACCTCCACACTAGACTTCTCCCGTTTCTTACATCTCTAATAATCGGAGACCAAGTTGTCTACATCCCGTTGCTAGGTTCTCCTCATCGAGAGCCTCGCTGGAAAGTTTTATGCTGCAAGGAGCCCTATCTTATTGAGAACTCAGCTTTCCTATTCGCTAAGCCTTCTGAATTCTTAGTATAGCTATTAGCTCTAGGGTGGCTAGCTATTAGGCTTATTACTTAATCTATCGTTACCTATTTATTATAATAATATAAATATAGTAATATATTCCACAAGCGAGATAAATACATAAGATAAATACTAACTCAATCCGATTCGACTTTTACTACAATTATTAGCTATAATAATATAGATAATTATCTACTTCTATTCTCTAGTATTTCTCTAGTGTCTTACGCATATACGAGCGTTATATCTAGTATTATTATATAAACTATAGCGCTATTATTTAACCTCTATTCCTTTTAAATACACCCCTATATTCCTTATCTTCTAGCGAATCTACTCTTTAATAGTAGTATGTTATATAATGTTCTAGCCCTCTTAAATAGTAAGTATACTACCTTATATAATATACCTCTTACGCTTCCTTTCTCTTTATTTCTTTACTATATTTACCTCCTATAAGGCATCGACTTCTACCTTAAGTAGTATAACCGTATATATTATAGTTTAAGTACCTTTAAGAAGCTAGTTAAGTGCGCTATTAATTAGTATTAGAGAGCTATTTTAGTATCTTATAATATAACCTTTAACTAGCTTAGTTTAACTCTAGAGTTCTACTAGATTCCGTAGTATCTTTAAGAGCTAGATGGTATTCTAGATATATAGAGGCATTAGGGTCCTTAACTTAAGATTAAGATATAAGAGAATATTTCTAGAATAATATAGAACTAGTCTTATAGCTCTAACGCTACTATAGATATTTTACTTAGTAAAAGTAGTCTTATAGGCTTCTTTAAATGCTAGAAGAAACTTAAATTTAGTAATATAATTAATATAGAGCCTTATAAGATTCTTAATCTACTATCTATATACTATTTTAAGTAGACTAAAATAGCTAACATCTAGTAGCTATAAGAGATAAAATAAATAAAGTAGTATATAGAGCGTAATAATATCGTTTCTCTAGTAGTATTATTTAAATTAAGCCGAGATATAGCTTTTATAGCTATTAAGAATAAGAAAACAATATTTTCTAGCTATTTAATACTTTATATACTTATCGAAGTACTAGATCTATTTATATCCTATACTATTATTTATCTAGCTATTCTTACTTACTATAATAACCTAATTACACAGTAGATTACTCTCTTTATACTAGCCTAATAAATAGTTCTATTCTATAAGAATAATAAATAGCGGGATTGCCTATTCTTATAAGCTGATACTCTAAATAACTAATACTTATTCTTAGTTACCTAGCTAAGCCGCTTTTAGACGACTGCGTGATTCTAAGCTTATAATAACCTTTACTATTATAATAACCCCTATTATAAACCCAGCTTTATCAAAGTTATAGATATCCTTTTTAGTAATTCTATACTTCGTAATAGTATTTTATAGTAGCTTAAACTACTCTTTAATAATAACTAGATCCTTATATTATACTTATTTATAGTTATACTCATAACTAAACTTAGTTTTAAGCTTCTAGTAACACTTAATAAAGTTTCTAGCCTAGTTTTAGCTTATTGTAATTTTACTATACTTAGTAAAAAGTAGGTTCGCTATTTCCTTTATAGCTTATAACTTAGATGTAAATCCTCGCGAATCTAGGTCTAGAATATAGTTAATAATAGCTAATTCTTCTAAGGAGGTAAGCTTATAATAATTAGGAGTAGACTCGTATTATGCGGATACGCTATAAATTTAATTATAGCGGGTTATAAGTTTAATGTTATATATTTTTATAGTAGCTTAAAGACTCTATATTTAATCTCATTTAATTACCTAGATAGCTAAAGCTATTCTACCCTCTATATTAGTGGATATAGGCTAAGATAGTAGTGGTATATTATATTAAAGATTAGGTAGACGCGTTGTATTGCGATAGTATTCATCTCGCTTGTATATTTATCTCGCTTATAGAATATATTATAGCCTTTTTATTTTTATTTTAGTTATTTTTTTGTTTTAGTCTTGCTAGAACACTAGACTCTCTAACTACTACAAACTTACCACTATATTTCGCAACCCTAAACTTTAGAACTTCGCGATGTAAACTCGGTAGCGGCTGCAGCTTATTAAAGCAAGTAACTTATATAAGTTTAATGCAAATTGGGTCTAGTAAGCCTATTATTTCCTACTTAGGGAATAATTACAGCTTCTAGAGAAGTGTGTCTAGGGGTGTCTAGGATATCCGAAAGAGGCTTAGATTTATCCACGAAACCTAGAAACAGTTTAGATTTATCTAGGAAAATCAAAAGAGTATATTAAGCGAGAGCCGCGCTTAATTCACTATAAAAGACCTTTAACTCTCTGTAGTATAGAGTAACAACGGGATGTAATATAATAATTTGGTTTTTAAGGTAAGAAAGAGTAATATTAAAAGTATAGATATATTAGTTTTAAAGATATAATGACGTTATTGTGTATCTAAGTCTAGTAGGAATTTTGCTAATAGTTTCCTACCTCTTCCGCTATATTATTGCCGCCCTAGTATATATCTTTACTTCTCCTTCCTTTACTCTTTCCGCTAGTGGCGGCACTATCTTATTATAGCCTACCTTACACACCTTATATATAACGTCCTCCTCCTTTATATACTATTACTAGTGTACTAGCAGATCTAGATACTTACTAAGGCACGTATAGAAGCATTTAACGCCCCTAAGGTATTCTTATATTACTCTCCTCTCCCTCTTCTTTCTTAAACTAATATCCCTTCCCACGCCCTCCTACGCCTCGACGGGCTCCTTAGAATGTAGCTTCTACTACGCCTCCTAGCTTGCCGGCAGCATAATAAACGAGTACACCTACCGCCCGTCTCACCCCATCCTACTAGACTTCTACGCGAAATTAATTATCGAATCTAGCTCGTTAATATGTATTACTAGATGTATATATAGGTAGTCGAATCTAGCCCCTAGCGCGGTAGTTGCTATTATATACGGCTAGTCTAGTAAGCTAATCCACTTTATTAGTACCTCCTTCTTCTCTATCACCATCCCAATCTTGGCTATATATATAGTGCACCCTAGTACCACTAAGAGCTTATCGGCTTCGGCTTACATGTATATATAGAGAATAATCTTATTCTAGAAATAGTTAAACAGCCTGCTATTCCTCCACGCCTCCTAAGCTTTATACGCACTCTACTTAAGCAAGTCGCCTCGCCTCTCCGCTTTTCATATAATATAAAAGAGGTTCGGCTGGTTACTTGACACCCTAATAACCTTAGGGTTTAATAGATAATTCTGCTCCTTAAACTCCGCCTGTATAGCTAGAGGTAGCGTGGTGGTAAGATACACAAACTAGGTGCATAGGCTGCGGATTACTACCAGGTCCACTATACTCTACTAATACTCTACTATAGTAACGGTAAGGTAATACTTATTAATAACAATATAGCTAAGCCTCTAGCCGGCTATAAGCCTCTACTTATATACTATAAATTCTCCTATTAAAGCCGCTTCTACTATTACTAGCACTAGCTCTACCTCCCGCGTCTCTCCTAGAAGCTAAACTAGATAGTAAATACCTAGCTCCCTTAACTAATATAGTAGATCTCTATACAAAGAGACTAATAGTACTATAAGTACCATCACGCTAGCGTCTAGTAATATACAAGGTAGTATGAATAGTAGGCTCTTACTAGAACTAGTAGGTAATATCATAAGCACCTACTTAGTCTAGGACATAATAGTGGTTATAGCCCTCTCCTACTCCAGCGACCTCTATGCTATATCCTCCTTCCTATAGAGGCTCCTTACCCTACTAAGTAATATAGCTAGTAACTAGGCTTTCTTCGGCTAATAGACCCCTATAGCGATTTTCTTAACTATTACTAGGCTCTTTACCTCTTTTAATATAAATTTTTTCTTATTCTTAAGTATTATATTAAGACCATAAAGATCCTTTTATAGCATTAAAGCGCGTAGGCTCCGCCTAATTAGGCTGTCCTAAATATTACTAAAGTTAGCGTTATTCTAGTTTACGTAAGCTCGATTAACCGTCCGAGTAGTATAGTTCCGCTACTTAATTATAATCTTAATATCCTTATTAATCTCCTTAGCGTCCTTATCGGCTAGATTGGGGTTGAAGTAGCTTAGCTTGCTAGCGAACTTAGTCTTTATAATAGTAACTATCATTTAGCGCTAGTTAGAGATATAC